AAATTCCATCCCGGAGTGCACTTTCGAAAGAGCTTCAATGTATTGTGATAACTTATATAAATATAAATATATTTATATTTATATATATATATATGTTTGTATGCGTGTACGTACATGTGTATGTATACATTTATGATTGTATGTGGCTGTGCGCTTGAGTGCTTGTGTGTTTATTCAAAAATGGTTTCTTATTGAGAGACTGTTAATTACATTTATTTAACTTTTTAAATAGGACATAAATCCCCACTGTAAATTATATATCCCATTTACCTATCCTATCACTGGATCTCATCTTTTAACTCCGAAATGCGCCCCGTGTTCACGTTTTAATGCCTCGCCTCGAGTTATGCTCCTCGTTGGGCCTCAAGCCGTCCTCTATTTATATAAGTCTGTTCTATCTCTTTCAACCACTGGGTGATTTTTCTCGATGCAGCGAATTTGGTACCATTCCACCAAGTTATCTGCTTCTAAGCATCCTGATTAATGGACATTGTACAGTGATAGCTTTTGTTGCGAATTATTGAATCATGTGACACTTGATAACTTTTGTCGTCATAATTGATGCAAACATTTATAATCGCTTACTTGTAAATTATCATTATCTAATTCGGCTGTTTTTCGCCATATTATTTTCCACTTCTCAATCCATCTTGTCTTTAAATTCACGTACTTTTTGTCCATTCTGCCTCGCTGCGCATGTCGCGGCTTTTATTCAAGTGATCTCATTATTATCTTGGTCCCCTTTGTCTTCTATATCAGCTTGTCGTTTTTTTACGAATTACGCCCATAGTGCATTTTGAAATCATAATTTTGCGCTGACGGTATTTTATTCCTTATCTATTCTGCATCCTGCGTTTTACTTCCTCTTCAATATCCACATTAATTTACTGTACAGGCTTCTTCACCACATCGATCTCTCATCCTATGCTATTACATTCTGCTTATTCTTTTCTTTTTCCCTCCTTTCAATAATCTGTTTTATCGCCGTCTCGAATGCCTGTAGCTAAGTGAATGAGTACCAGCACATATACATATTAAATACATAATTATATTTATCTTTTATGCAGTCTTGAATATATTTTTATTTGCTATTTCGTATAGTGAAGAAAGCTTTTTTTATGAAATATTTTATAATTCGCAGATTTGCTGGTATACTTTCTAACATGTCTACTATTCGGAAGCACTTTCGCGTATATGTAAGGATTAAGAACGGGATATTCAAATGTTTTTGTTTTTGTATTATCGTTGTGTTTGGTTTAAAGTCTAGTTTATTTCAAAGCAGGTCTTCGCTATATCAATTGTTATTGCAATTACATTTTATCTTGTGCAGACTCATTTCGTATGAAAATGCATGCGGATAAATCCGTAGGTCGATCTCACCAGAAGAGTAAT